AAAAAACCTTCTGGAGACATCTAATTGTCACCACCCTGAATGATCAAAAACTTTGCATAAGACTGGTATAGTTTGATGTATCTTCTGATGATGTAACAAAAAATGAAGTATTTAGCTAAGTCTATGATGTATTCTTGCCAAAATGTATAATCTGAATCTAATCACTTCTTTAGAGCACATTTTCAGTTCATAGGAAATATACAGGGAAGAGGGATAATTTACATAACACAAGAAAACATTCAGATATATCTAGAATGTGGGATATTGCTAAAGATAACTGGCCAGGTCTCTTAATAAATTCATAAAAAATAAAAAGATGGGTGAACTATTTCTAGAATAGAAGAGACTGAAGAGTTACAACAACTAAATACAATGCTTGAATGAATCTTGATTTGTAAAAATCTATAAAGACATTTTTGGGATACTTGTGAAAATTTGAATATGGACTACATAGTAAATAAATAAATTAGGAAATAAGTATTAATTTTCTTGGGTGTGATAATAGCATTGTAAATATGAAGGAAAATATCCTTATTTGCAGAAAACACAAATTGATTTATTTGGGGATGAAGTTTCACAGTATTTGTAATTTACTCTCAAATAATCTTACAAGCAAAACCCCAGGTTATATATGTAAATACATATACAGCAAACAAACCAAAATATCAATCTCTGGACCAAGGTAGCAGCTATACAGGTGTTCGTTGTATTCTTATTTCTCTCTTCAAAGTTTTTCATTAAAAAGTTGGAAAAAATGGCATTTGAGTCAAACTTTGAAGGAAAGAATGTGAATATTCTGTTTTAAGACTGTTGATCGTACTTTAGTTCAGTAGAGACAAAATCAGATAAAAAGAGTACACTTATGTGACACACCATTTAGATACAACTGCTTTTAATGATTTGAGGATATATATATATATAGGTTGAGTATCCCTAATCCAAAAATTGAAATGCTGCAAAAATCTGAAACTTTTTGAGCACTGACATGATGCTCAAAGGAAATGCCTCTTTGAAGCACTTCAGCTTTTGGCTTTTCAGATTAGGGATGCTAAATGGGTAAGTATGCACACATAAAACACTATTTTGTATTCTGCTTTTTCACTCACTGTGGTGGATGCCTTTCCATGCCTGTAATTGATATGAGCATCAATTGCTGGCTGCATGGCATTCCATTGTAGAGATACATTCGTAATACATCTCATTTCATTTAATTCCAATTATCTTCAGTAATATCTCACACTCTGGATATATGTTTTCTTCTTCTTTTTTTTTTTTTTTTTTTTTTGAGTTGGAGTCTCAGTCTGTCGCCCAGGCTGGAGTGCAGGGGCACGTTCACAACCACCACAGCCTCGACCTACTGGGCTCAGGCGATCCTTTTGCCTCAGCCTTCCAAGTAGCTGGAACTACAGGCATGCGCTACCACGCCCAGCTAATTTTTTTGTTTATTGTAGAGATGAGGTCTCACCAAGTTGCCTGGGCTGGTCTTGAACCCCCGGGCTCAGGCAATCCACTTGCCTCAGTCTCCCAAAATGCTAGGATTACAGGCTGAGCCACCGAGCCCGGGCTATATTTGTTTTCTTATGGTATCATTTAACATATTCTTTCTTTTGTTGTCTCTATAAACTGAAAGTGTGCTCTAAAGGAGTGAATAGATTCAGGCTAAACATTCTGGCAAGACTACATCTGGCAAGACTACATCATAGGTATAGCTATTTATTTCCTTTAGTATTTATTTTATTTTTTATTTCTTTGAGTTGGAGTCTCACTCCCTCACCCAGCTGGAGTGTAGTGGCACTCTCACGGCCACCGCAGCCTTGACTCTCATGGTCACCGCAGCACTCTCACGGCCACCGCAGGCAATCCTTCCGCCTCAGCCTTCGCAGCAGCTGGAACTACAGGCATGCACCACCACGCCCGGCTAATTTTTTGATTTATTGTAGAGTCGAGGTCTTGCCATGTTGCCCAGGCTGGTCTCAAACCTGCAGGATCAGGCAATCCTCTCATCTCAGCCTCCCAAAGTGCTGGGATGACAGGCGTGAACCACAGTGCCCAGCTTTTTGCATGAATTTAAATTAATTTAATTTGATTCCACGGATTCCTTGTCCCCCATACACAGTCCTCCATGGCCCCATGAACATCTGTCATGTACCCGTTTTGCTCAAATGTCTGGTTAGCCGGAAGGGCAAGATTTCAGGGTGTGGAAAGGCAGTCAGCGTAACCGTGAGCAGAGGCGCAATGTCAGGAAAGAGTAGGGCTAGTGTGGGAAGAGTCGAGTAGCTTGCTACATCTGGGGTGTCCAACCCCCCAGGAGGGGAGGGTGGACACAGCTGAGGATGATTCTTGAAGGGAAAAGGAGGAGCTTGAGAAGACCCGATCTCATTTTACCTCAAATGTTGCCAGGGACTCTTCCCAACGCTTTTTCGAGTTAACCTACTCAAATGCAGGCATTGACGATGCCAGGTACAGTGTGGTGTGTTGATCCGTGGGTTCTTTTGACTAGGCCACGGGAGAGAATTCCAGAGTGAGACCCACGTGTAGTTTAAGATGGAATTTACTAGAAAGAAAGAGGCATCCCAGGGGGCATGCCTAAGAGAAAAGATAAGTCGTGCTTGCTTTTGAGAAAAGGCCTTACCCGCTTTTACAATTATTAAGCAAGCCATGAGCTAAGAGGGGTGGGTTGCAGGGATCGGTCCCTGAGTTTTGAGGACCAGCTCTCCACCGTCTATGAGCTAAGCGAGTGGGCCGCAGCTGTCTGGTCTCGAGCTCTGAAGGCCATCTCTCAACCTGCTGAGGTCACAAGGACCTTGCAAATACTCCAAGTGATTGCCTCGCCAGACCGGGGCTTTGCTTACAACATCACGTCTGTGTCTGGGGCAACCCCGTGGTTTCTGATGGACTGCAAGGCGGAGCCACGCTCCAGGCCACGCGGAGGCCGGTCGGGCGAAGGTCACGAGCCGATCAGAGGCGTCCGAACGTCCCCTGCTGCTGTCGAAGACACGAATCGCAGTCGCGCAGGTCCAGGACGACTTGCCCGCGACCCCTCCCAGCGATCGGCCGGGAAACCGCGGCGGGAAGCGGCCCGAGGGGAC